AAATATTTAATTCATTCTCTATTTAGCTATCATTGAAAGTATCAAAGTGAATTTGTAAACATAGTGTGTTTGTAATTTAATACTGTTTTGATTGGTGTGTTGTTTAAGTTAAGTCCAGGACTTACATGTACATATATACGAGGAATGCTTTTTAAGTCATATAATATGTAGTTTATAAGATGATTTTAATACGCCTTAATACACGTAAATAATTTTTTTTTCGTCCTTAGTACTTATTCCAAATTTCGAAGGCTAATAAAAAATATGCAAATTTATATATAGGTAGGTATATATCGACTTACAATATGAGTAATTTTTAGGGAATACGTATAATAAAAGGTAAAATTATTCTTTTCGGATTAATCTCATAAAGATTTTGGTGGGAAGTTAGTAAAAAAGCGCCAAAACTGTCTCTTGTTCCGGATATCTTAATCAAATTGACACTCATGTAGTATAGACTTTTGGTATGAAAAAAAAATACTATTATATTTACTACGGCAATATTTAATACTAAGTTAATAATTTTATAGACACATATATAGATATGATTTTAATCATTTATTATTTATATGGTTGAAGGTCTCATTACGATTTCCTTGGAGTTAAATCTATTAATAGCGTAGCTAATTATAACTCTTAATACAAACATGTAATCAACTCACCCAAATAATATCTAGAATTGCAAAATATTTTTACAATCATTACACACCTCCTTGATCTACTCTATATATTATCTGTGGCCTTGATACTGAATGTTATACTTGTATATATTCACTGTGGAATGCTAGTGGGGATATAGCGAAGCAGCGCGCGTTGTGACAAAAGACAAATTTATTATTGAGAAACACGATAAAGCTATGTCAATTGTTTTGATATGTCAAGTATAGATGGCGCTTTCATTAAAAATACTCAGATAATTGTATTCTTTTTGTTTTATGTTATTTAAAATCTATTACTAGATAGATTTAAAGTTTTGAGTAAAGTCGATTTATATGAAGATATTATAAGAATACGATGAATTGATAAACAAGATTAGAGTTTTTAAATTATTTATTTATTACAAATACTGGCGTCAATATTAATAAGGACACACAAATCTTAATATAAATGAATTGATATTTTTTCAATACGTGATTAAGAAAAACAACGGCAGTTTTAACAAGATGTGAATTTTTATTGTAATTTAAGTGCGAATGAAGCAAAATCTTAATATTTATTATTTTATTGTTTAGTTTATATTAGAACGGAACACATATTAACTTCGCCGTAAACTTTTAAACCCATCTATCACATGTCGCAATACAGCAGTCTGCACTTTTACTAAGGCGTCTATTGACAGATTTACTGAATTTATTTCATATTTCACACTCAATTAAGCACTCCAATGTTAATATTATAATTTGTTCTCTGCTCTTTACATCCATTCATCATTGATATTGTATTTATTAAGATTTAAGAGTGATTTTAAGGTCCTAAATCTATAAAAAAATTCTTATAATCTATGAAAAAGAGTCGTGTTAACTTATAACAAAAGGATAATATATTTGTGCACATTAATACGTTTATTTAGGTAGCCTCTTTTTCAATATCGTTTTGTTTGTTTTATTCTTTAATTCAATATATTATTTGTCTTACATTGTAGAGTTTTGTATGAATAATTTTAAAAACATTGCTATATTAAAGGGAACCTTAAAAAAATATTTAAAATATTAATAACAATGATTATATCATAAAATTATTAATTTATATTTTAAGCTGGTGTTGCCACTTGGGGAACTTATTTCTGAATAATCTTTTTATTCATACATAAACAATAATATATTAAATACACAATTTACATTACTTGTTTATTATAAAAAGTGAATGACATTTTTTTAATATTTAATTGTATAAAAAGTATGCATAAATTATATATAGTTGAATAATTGCTAGTGACATCTGCATGTACAGATTTACAATACTTTTTAATGATCTCATCTTAAATATACATATTTATTCAGCCTATATAGTAAAAGGAGTTTCTATATAATATAAAGTATAGTTTATTTATAAGTGTATTTATATTTAAAAGCAATGGTTTTAGAGAACATCTATCTTTCTTTAAAATATTTGTCATATTCATTTCATGATATCAATTTTGGAATAGTTGTGTATAGACAGCTATATAGTACTTAAAGAATCATTTTATGATGGCTGATGTTTTATTAGCACATTCATTGTGTTTGCCGCTAGAGTGCCACAGTAATGTTATTAAAATTAGATTAATATTTTACAAATATCTTAAACTGTAGTAAAAAGCAAGTCCAGTAAGTCTCGATTATGTTATCCTTACTATGATTCGGTTTCCCAGTTATATGCATACATAGTTTCATAATGTGTTTTATATTGGAAAATATTAGATACTTTCTAGGTTTGTAGAAACATCTAAAGCATTTTAATATTCCGGTTGAAATATTCTCTGAGATAATCTGAATATGGCCTTGATATTCAATAATTATGGTATTTTTAAGACATTTCTATTATAAATTAAGAAAGCTGACGCTTCACATTGAAAAATGGTATAGATATACAATTAGAGAGACCGATAGGTATAAAAGTTTTGAATTATTGATGGACACAATTAGATGGGAAAAATATAGTATTAAGATTTGAATTGAAACAAAGATTTTTTACTTGGGTTAATACTTTACCAGAATTTCAATCGATCAATTATTAATAAACAATAATGACGCAATGTCACAAGTATACGTGATAATATAAATTATATACAACTCACCAAATCGAAGTAAACAGATTAATAAAAGTTATACAAATACACAACACAAATATTAAAAAGACATTAAATGAATTAAATATATAACCAGTTTGCAGAGGACTACAGTCCGTACTAATATATCACATAAATATATAGTAATTACTATGTATAACTAGAAACAATAATATACAATGGACCGTTTTTTGAGACAAGAACCTACTAGTCTTTTAAATTTCTGTAAGGGATATTTCTAAGTCTTAACTAGTTAGATCATTTATGAAATATAAGTTTGTACTGGATGGATCATGATTATTGATATTTTAAGAAATAAATAAAGTACTTGTTTTGATGGGATAATTCAAATGTCATTTGTCATAATCTGTCACGCAGAAGCAACGTCAGTTTTGAAGATGACATAAACATTAAAATGTAAACACTATGTATTGCAAATAAATAGTTAACATTATGTGGATCCAAAATAATAAACTATTTATATTTTATTTTTATACAATATTAAATATATAATATTTTTACGAAAATTATAATTTTGTTATTCAAAAGAAAATAAATTCTTGTTATAAAGGTATTTCAGTGTTTGTATAAAAAAGTATTTTGTCTATCTGTAACTCTAGAAGGATTAGTCCTTCTTCCTAAGCTACTAATTTCGTATGAAAACAACTTTGCCTTGATCTTAATAAAACCGTTATAGGAATCTTTGTAATATTTCTTGCCCTGGGGGTGATTCTATAGCTGAGAATTGGTTATTGTCGTCTTGGTGACAAAAAGCTTTATTTTGTCCCGAAAGTCCCGTGTTCAGCATTTGATCTGCATAGTACTTAATACTACCTAATAGTGGTACTATTTCCTATAGTGTCCCGGAAAATATAAAATAACTTTGACCATTGAATTTCTTCGTAGAAAGGGACTATTGTTCGGTTACTGGATCAAAATAGTTGACTTAGATACTTTTAAGAGAATCTCTTTTTATATTCATCTGTGAATGTTTTATCCAGCTTTAATACAATGGTGCTAAATACAATAGTGAATAGAGGAATATAGCGTTGCAAACTCACTTAATGGGGTCGCTAGGTCACTGTTTAGTACATTCTTCTGTAGCTAAGAAATACATAGGTATATCTGATTTCATTTTAGACACAGAAACTTAATCCCAAATACGAGTATATTTACTTGTGAATACATAAGCTCCTTTAAATAAAAATTGTATGCTCTTTAAAAAAAAAAAGGCAATGTTCTGCATAAATTCTTTTTTATTAATTAAGCAGAGGAAAAATTTTAATAAAACGAATTTTAAAGCTTTATTTATCAATTCATATATTTTATTGTTTTAGTATACTTATAGTTAAATGAAGATGTATATTGATAGAAAAATAATGATTTTGGTAAAATATTCCTTGTACAAAATTTAGAAAAACAATACTGGATTTTTTTTTCTTACAATTTTTGTAAAAAGTTATTTTGATTTATAAATTTAATATCAAATTATAATTCAAATTCGTATGTATTATCTGTTTTATCTTAATTGACTTACAATATTTCTTCATTTTGACTCCAAAAAACCTTAGTATAAAAATCTAAAAATCCTATTTTTTATTTATAATATATACTTCTAATACTGATTCTAAAACATTCTAGTTTTAACTAAATTTTAAATATAAATACAAACAATAAAGTTTTCACACAAAAGGTTTGTTTTATATCAAATATTTAGTTCTACTTTCTAACAAAAACAATGTTATCTACAAAATTTGTTAAATTAATACATTATCATAATTAAATCGGAAATAAATAGAGGCAAAGTTAGAACCGCTTCAATGTCGTCTAATAATTGTCTTTGCGGCCACATATTAAATTACCTATACTTAAAAATAATTTAAATAAAAATAATATTTAAGTACGAAATATTTTAAATCACATAGAATATTTTAAGGTACTCGCGTTAATTTAATAATAAGGACAAATTTAATTAAATATTAGATTTTACGAAATGAATCTTTCATAAATAATCTCTACATTTGTATATATAAATTTATATATTTTTTTGGTACTTAACCTCCAAACAATATTAGTTACACCGAATAAATTGGTGGTTTAATATATTTAATTTGATTCATTAATTTAATTTATAGCCAACATCCGGGCAAAATATACACAGTAGGTATATTAATAATATCAAATAGAATGCCACATAAACACCAAATGCCAGGTAAACACCAATTATGAATGCCTAATGCCAGGTAAACACGCAATGACAGACGAGTAGATATCCAGATGCGACTATGAGATGTCCTATCATGACTGGGAAACCTATTTTAAAGAACTGCATGAATGTAAACCGATATCCGTGTTGTTCAGCTACGCCCGCGCATACCACGTTGGCACTAGCACCGATTAATGTACCGTTACCTGGAAGATAATAACAAAATTATCATAAAAAACTATTAAAGAAGATCTTCTTCTACCTGGCAATTTCAAAGCTTAAGCCAAGGTCTGCCTTACATGTAAATAGTTTTGGCTAATTGTTTTTACGCCTGCCTGCCTGACATCAACCCTCTTTGGGAATGCATTAATCAGTGATATCTAAATAGTCTTAGAGAGTACATATGACTCGGAAAAATCACATTAATACTTGCCAGGGCCAGGATCGAACCTGCGCCCTCGGCAACGAGAGGCGGGCCTTTTAACCACCAGGCCACCACTGACTTTAATCTTTATTAAAGAAGATATAATTGTGATACTTCTGGAATTTAGATATCTGAAATAATTCAGATACTGAGATTTAAGACTTGAATTTACATCTCGTCTGCCCGTGATTATGGTTGCTGCAAACTAACCGAAACTTCGGGAGTATATAGCTTAAAATTATTATAAATACGTAGTAAATCCGACAAATATTAGTTTTATTTCAATGAAATTCAAACTGTATGGTGGATTTAGTTTGGTTTCATAACAGAATTCAGTCATTGGTTACTTTGCAGCCTTCTATGTAAGGTCGTGCATTTCTGACATAAAATGCCATACAAGAAAATTCCTCCAAAAATTATCTACAGCTAAATTTTTGTTTCTCTTCAAGTGCCTATAAGGGATAATAGTGACAATCTATTTAATTCTTACCTCCCAAACAAGCTCCAAACGACAAGGCCCATATTAATGGTGTTATAGGTAAATTTAGATTCGGGTTTGATCCTAACGCAATGACAACGCGAACCATCATCGTAGTAAGAGGTATGTTGTCTACAAATGCTGACGTTACACCTGAAACCTGAAAAAAATTGACCAAAATTAATAATAATAATAATAAATCACTATTTCCGGGACCATATTCCAATTTTACAAATAGACACATAAGAACTTAAAACTAAAACAAAGACCTTAAATTAATATTAATATTATGAGCACAAGCTTGACCGCACAAACCATAAGCATACCCCTTGATAATGTGTGTGTATTTTGGACCAATGCTCTAACAAATATCTTACATTAATGCTCGAGCAAGCCTTAACTAATGAATTATTGTTTTGAGTATATCTCTTCCAGGTGCTCGCAATTCTTACACGCATCAGTGCCAAGAAACCGTGTACTTAATGATTGACTGATTTTGATGCGATCTTTTTTGGAAACCAGTTTTGTTATTGTGGTTCTTAGGTATATTTGTTTGATTACTCTATAGATGAAAGAGTATAAGTATTTTTCAGAATGGTGTAAGTTGTTTTGGGTCTATAATTACTCAAAGTGCCTTATGTATGCCAATATAATATTTTAATGATAACTAGTATTTAAGGACTTTTTAAATTATTCTCTTATTTTTTATAGAAGTATTTAATTTATTGTTATGGTTACTATATTTACAGTTTATGTTTATTTAGACTGATAACATAAATTAATCTTGCAAGTAATTACAGATGATGGGCTATTTATTTGAAAAATGCTCATATACATTTACATACACTGAGACTTTGTAAAAATACCTAAAAATATCAAAATTTAGAAATTCGCAAGAAATTATGCAAAGAACATGTATTAATACTCGTATAGTACTCACCCATAATAGGAGTAAAATTGCCACCGCTAATCTGCCATTTTCGTCTACTTTGAGTATTAAAGATTCAGTAATACCACCAATAAACTCGATTAGACCGAGTTTTGATAATGCCTGTAATAGATTTAATATAATTAGGAAATATTACAAAGAATAAAGAATTGAGAAAAGGTACGATTTTTTTATTCCCATTGATGGTTGTATGATAAAAAACTTAACTCGAGAAGATCATAGACCATATAATAATAAGTGGTATATAGTTTCATTGGCAACCAATAATATTTTACAAAATTTACTATCGTTGAAATGCAGCTAAAATTATAAAATATTTTGGCATTTTCAATATGATCACCCAAGAGCAAGGGTTAAGACCTAATAAACTAATATTTAAGCTTTAATCAACCCTTTTACATAAACAAGAGTTTTTTAGAAAAAGCAACCCTAAATCCACTCATTCAGTGGACTATACAGGGTGACTGGTGAATTACTATCGATACTTGAGGACGTGATATTTGACGATCAAATATGACAAAATAAAAATTAATATGACATAAATATTAATAAACTTCTAAGTAAAGTTAACCAAAAGTTATGTAATTAATTACACATCGTGTGAACACCCTACAGATTAGGTATACACACACACTCACACATACGCATGCGGCGGCGTGGTGTTGTATCAGCAAGCCGCCGCACGCGTCCACACTTGGAACACTTGGAACGTGTCCACACTTTATTTATTTATACGGAAATTTGGTCAAAAATTAAGTACCTATTTTTTTTACATAATTCGAATGAGAATCATGTACCGAGTATTCTCCTTAAATATTGATAGTAATTCACCAGTCACCCTGTATAAAATCTATTAGATTTACATTAATTAATAACAATAATATATAATGGCTCACCTCCATAAGTACGAATAAAGCGGCAAAAAATAATAAAGTAGACCATTCAACTCTGTGTAATATTGGTTCGAGATCTTCTCTGTCAGCTAAAGTCAGTAATAGAATTGCTCCTAAAAGTGCCGTCCATCCTAAAGACACTCGGTCTGAAATGAAAAAGTAATTAATTTAGCAATTATGACATTTATTACTATAAAGAAATGTTCAAAGTACTTGTTTTATAATAAAAATCAAATCGGATATATCTACTTTTGAATTGAATAATATATAAAATAATTTTATCCTTTATAATATTAAATATAATACAAATTGAATATTGTTACAATAATTATTCATGAGAATATTATGATGGTCTAGTAATAGGTTTTCCAATACCAAAACGTTTACAAATTTTGATATAGTTTAATACTTTTTCAATCATAATATTTGTCAAGTCTAATCTTTTATAGACATTCTTCTACCCATATTGTATGTATGTATTTTAATTATTCTCTATTTACGGTGAAGTATGGTTCTTAAAACTTACTTAATTCCGGCATCGAATGTAAGAAAAACACAACGACTACAAAGGTAATGGCTATAGTTGATTTGATTAACAGCATTTTATCCCTCACTACGTACTGGAAATAAAAAAATACAAATATTACAGGAACATTATAATTCATACAAGATTTAAAGGAGAGAATTATAGCATACAAAATTCTTTTTTTTTTTTCAGCCTATTAGTTTTGAGCATTAATCACCACGCTTACTTAAGACGGGTTGGTGATTTCAAACTTATAATTATGAAATTATAAGTCCAGGTTTCCTCACGATGTTTTCCTTACCGTTTGTCAGTGGTGTCTAAATACTCTTAAAAAGTACATATGACTCGGAAAAAAATCTTTTGGTGGTAGTAATCTATTAGAAAGTTATTTTACCTTATCTTTCAATTGGCTAAGCGTTGTCTGAAAAGTTTCTTTCGGGCATACTCTTTTGTAGCTTTCTTTGACCATAGTATCCAATTGTAAGTTTAATTTCGTCACTTTTCTTTCCAACCTTTCTCTTACAACATGTTGATCTTTACTCAAGTGCGGGAGAGATTCTATCGCTCTACGCCATATAGATATTTGATGACGTATATCTATAAAAAATATTATTATTTTAGATTATTTAGAGTTCGATTATCGCGTTTCCAAAAGGAAATTTTCAAAAGTCTGAGATAAAAACTATCCCATGTTCTTTCTCAAGGTCAACTCGATCTCTGTACCAAATTTCATTAAAATCAGTTCAGTGGTTTAGGCGTGAAAACATAACAGACAGAGTATTCGAATTTATAATATTAGTAGGGTAGTATATGACAATTTATATCTTGTCATTTATTTGTAACCGGTTTTAAAAAGATTTATTGATAATAAGTAGATATAATCGGTTTTAGAATAAAATAATCTTGGAAAATTATGACATTGAAGCAAATTATCTTTGTATAATTCGATAAGTGAATTATAATTTACATTCCTTTTTCACATCAATATCATGTTTTATATTAAAATTTTCAGTCTTAAACTAAAGAAACATTGTCTGTAGCTTATGGATAATTTTCTTATTGAGTTTAAAAGAAAAATACCTTGTATGTCCCTTGGAACATTCAATCGAAGTTTGTTTGTATCTCTATATATATAACGTAGCTGAAAGTATGTCTGTACGCATACAAGCAAGATGCCAATAGTCATATGCATTGTGAAGTTTGTAAAGTTTATACCCTGGAACACAAATTGAGTTGAGACATTTGATATACATATGTAATTCTAAAGATGTTAAAATCGTGCATTTTTGTGTAGTGTGTCAAAATTTTAGACTTTTTCATTTATTTGAGAGCCTGATTTTGAAATTAAAGTGTTTACAATCGCATAAATAGTTTTAAGAATCCGAATGGTACTTTGTTATAGTTTAAAATCAACTGCAGTTAATATATAATGCTATTAAATGAAAAAGATATTATTTTATTATACTCGTAACTATCTACTTAGTAGGTAACCTTAGCGATAAGGAAGCATATATATTGAATGTGATGATAAATAATTACGCAGATAAATTTCAGTGATAGCGATTTGAATTAGTCATATTATATGTTACGGAAAATTTCTTAAACGATATATATATATATGTTTTTACATTTATTATAAAATCAAGAAAAAATATAGATTTTTGTATCTAATATATCAATTGACCAAACTATATACAAAATATTATAATCATTTAATATTAGAATGTTGATCTTAAATAAAAAAGTAACACTATGTGATACACAAAGAGTGACCAAGTTATTTCATTTGTATGTCTTTTTTGTGTTTGGGCTTTATAAAATACTCTCATAAATACAATAAATTATGATTTAAATTAATATAAAATTGTATTGAATAAAGAATTTAATAAAATCAGAAATAATCTAATCGTCTTATTTTTATCGAGAAAATAACAAAACATAGTTTCTAGTAAAGAGCTTCGTATTTAAACCAAAGAGTTGAGAATTACTTATTTAAGAATTTTAAGAAGTACTGGCATATTGAAAGAGAATTGCCATTTAGAGATACTATGGATGCCATTTAGAGATATTATGGATGTCTATTAACAATCTCTAATGGAAACTATATGTATATTTAAATGAAACTAGTAATCCGAATATATTGGTTACATTTAAATGAATACTCGCGAAAGTCTTATATATATGTATAAGAATGATCTAATAAGCATGCTGTGAATAAAATCTTTATCTACAAACCGATTGTACAACATCTTTATTAGATGCTATAATAACATTCGGCGGATCTCCTACCGGTGTCGCCGTACCACCTATATTACTGAACAGCACCATAGACATGAGGATTGGGACAGGATCCATGTCCATAACTTCACAGAGCCTGCAAAAAACTTTGTAACTTCATTATATGTCAGCCTATCAGAGCCCACTGCTGAGCCTCTTCTCACATGGAGAAGGTTTGAGCATTAATCACCACGCTTGCTTAACGGGTTGGTGATTTCAAACTTATAATTGTGAAATTATTATTTTTTATTTATTTTATTTTATTTTAGGGAAACAAACAATAAGATAAACTTATGGGATATGAATATACAAAATTACATATATCAGGTAAGTTTCCACTGGTAATTAGACACGTATTATTAAAATTAAAAAAAGACTAACATACATAAAATGAAACATTAAAAACGTATACTGACGAATTTTTCGGCAGTTATGAATAAAATTATAAGTCCAGGTTCCCTCACGATGTTTTGCTTCATCTGTCAGTGATGTCTTAATACTCTTAGAAAGTACATACATATGACTCGGAATCACATTGGTACTTGCCAGGATTGAACCCGTGCCTTTGCCACGAGACGCAGACCCTTTTAATCACTAAGCCACCACTGACTTTATTATATACTCACACAATAATATTACTATTTGGGTAGTTATAAATGCCTTAAATAGATAATATTTAACACTATTCGAGAGTTTTGAAAGTGAAAGACGTTTTCTTCTCGCTTAACCGTGATCACGGTTGCTGTAAAATAGTCCAAGAAGACGGTAAAATGTTGTATATAACATGTTTTTTCAGATGATCATAGCTTAATGTATTAGTTTTTTTTGCCAAATGCCTTTTCAGAATAATGGATATATTTTTTTGTATCAAACTTTATATTTTATGAGCAGAAAATATCTACTGTTTTAATTTTAACTCACCGAATAGTAACTGGGGTCATTAAAAGGACTGTGGTGACATTGTCTAGGAAGGTTGAGAGAACCGCTGTTATCACACACAGTAATGTTATCAATGGCCATAGTTTTCCTTTTGTCACCTAAAAAAAACATAAAATCTATGTTAAATATATGTCAGAAAAATGTAATTGTTAAATGAAGTTACGGTGCTTTATTTAATGTTTTGAAACTATTAATAATATTATTCTTAAAACTAGAGAAGTTAGTAAGAATTATATCTTATTCTTAAAGAGAAAGATCGATTGCTTTAAAATCGAATTATGAATTTATTATATAAGTATACAACATACATTTCAATGACAAAAAGAATATTTTCTCAAACTTGACTTAAACCGTTACTAAGATTTCAATTAAACAAAATGAATTAATTGTTATATATAATGATATCGTTAAAAACTATTTCACGATCAAAGAGAATACAGAAAAATATGTATTTAGTATGAGAACTATTTTATCCTGTAGTCATGTAAAAATTTTTAGTCTTCCGTACTAACCCCCAACATGAATTAATTTTGCCCAATCCTTGTTTTATATTCATAGTACTTATTACATCAAAATATCTTGCGTAATATGTTTGTTCGTATATTTAATAACAAGACTATTTCGGAAGGTTTTAAAGCTGATGCAATAAGGAAAATTTCAACAAAAACTAGATATTATTACGCCGAGAAAAACATTGGAAAAACGAGAGCAAGGTCTCGAATGAAACCAAGTTAAAATAACGTGGGAAAAAATATAATAGGACATAAAAATATCTGAAATAGACTGTAGATTTTAAATGATAAATTCATGGTTATTAATACATTTAATATGTTACGAACCTTATTTTAATACATGAAACCGTCGGATTACTCATAGGTATATGAAAATAAGTTATTATTAAATTTATAATAAAACTATTACAATTCTAGTAAAAAATACCCTTTTTCTTAAAAACAGTTTAGAAGATCTTTACGCTTAGAAATTTTCTAACAGACTAAAAGAGCCATATGTATTTTTGTACTTAAAAAATTGAAAATAATTAAATTTCAAATTATAAAGTCCTTTTATATACATATATGTATTATATTCAGTACATATGATAAAGAGATAAATAAACCCTTTGTCTTAAGAATTCAATTTTATATTTAGTGCTAGTACTACTAGTGCTACTTTAGTACTACTAATACATATATGTATAGCTAAACGGGCGAACTCTAATCCACGGTAGAAGCCATAAAAACCATTAATATAATATATAAAAAAAAATTCAACTATATCCGTACAGCTTTTTTTAGTTATAGTGCAACTAACACAACTTTCTTTTATATATGTATATTATATAATTTTTACAAGGTACGCACTGTTAAAAGAAGCTAACATTAAATCGTTTAAATGATTAAAATTAAAAAAATGCGAATAAAAAAGAAAAAATTGCAGACCAAATGGCTTAAAACATTTCACTATAATTCTGACAGCGAAAAACAATTAACTTACCTCGAAAGTAAATACTGCTAGGAAATCAAACATTCCAGTCTCAGCCATTATTGCTACTAATATCATCATGCTGAAGAGTAGTAGGAGAGTTTCCACGTCCAGCCATGAGATGAGCTCAGGGAGAGAAGGTCTTTCTCCTATTATTGAAAGAATTGCTAATGATGTAGTAGATATTAGAACTGCTGCCATCGTTCGATTGATGACCTACGAAATAAAATGAAGGTAATTTATAAAATTCTTCATATGTCAGAAAGAGTGGTTAGTAGATGAAAATTATGCTCCTAAATTGACAGTTTTTTATTGTACAATAAGATGTTTTGTCATTTCATTTTAAATAGTTTGAAAATTTAAAAATTTGTTTCTTGCGGTCAGTCTAAAATAATCTATAATTAATTAATATTTTTCATATAATTATGAATTAAATTTTTAATCCTATGAAATAAATTACTGTTTCTCATGCGTTTAAAAGAACTATAGTACATTTGGTCGAATTTGTTAATACATTTTCGTTGCTAACAGCATTTTATTTTATTTATACATATAAGCAAAATTACATACAAATTTGGCGTTTCTTTCTAATAAAAGTAAGATTAATATCCCTAAAATGAAAATTTACTTATTTTTGTGTCTTAGTTTATAGTTTTATTTACATCTTGTTTAATTGAGTGCATTTAATTATTTCCGGGTTCATAATATCTGACCCGTAAACAAACATTCATCTCGTACTACATAATACAAACTTTTACTTGATATCGTATTCTTGTTTTTTTGTTGCTGAATTCGCAAAAACAAGGACAGTTTTTGATGAAAACTTATTTAGATAAACAGGAATACCTTATAAGAAACTTTTTGTGTCAAAAATCTCTAAATTTCTCGGGTATTAAATGTGTTAGAAACTGATTAAAAAAAATTATACCTATAAACGTGAAGTTATATACATATGTATAGAGAGAGAAAGAGAGAGAGAGAGAGAGAGAGAAAGAGATAGCTATATAAATGTCAATCTGACTCAATCTGCTGTCAATCACTGCACCGATTGCTTGATTTTAACATCCAAGATATAAATATCCCTAAATAAGTCCGACAATAAGATGACAAATAAAAAATGATATTATAATATACACTGTTTTTCTCAAATGAAAAGATTATAAGGCAGTGTGAAGAACATACATGATATAAAATTAAAACTACATTAATGAAGACAGATTCCGATTTTGATATCCCGAGATTTATGTGTTCTTTAACATCTCATGTGTAACTTACCAATCGCGTCCCCCCCGGCTTTCTTATCATATAACTATACCCAGCGCGATGACTATACCCAAATATTTTAGAAAAACTTTTCAAGGATTTAACTTCAGAGTATCTTGTTGAGTGGTAGTGAGAGGAGCTTGGACGGTGGAGGTGAGCGTTTAACGCGTTAGATAGGGTCCCCTTAAACCTACACCTGGGTCGCAAGTCACAGGCACTGTTGAAGCTCCTCTCCCTACAACGATGGACCCGACACCCGCACCGTGAATACATGAAATGATGAGAGGTTTCGTCTCAGTAAAAGAAAATAAAATTGTAGGATTATTGATATCGCCCAAAAAGGTAGCTACTTTTAACATTTTAATTCTATTCTACGACGTCTTCTGTTACTCCCTCAATTTATATTCCTACTAATAACTAATGGTAATATTCTATTCAATACATATGTAAGTTAATATAATTAAATTTTATAAGCAGTATACAAATAAAAATATTTAATATTACATATACATATGACCCAGAAATGGGTTTAATCTCTTACTTTAGATAACAAAGACATTCAGACTACGAAATGTGACGACATTAATTGCTATTATTAAACAGTGAGGAACAAAAAATAACTTTATATCAAAGAAATAAGATATAAAATACAATGTCAATGTTTGTGAATAAAGATTGAAATATCATTTGCATAATACACGTGTAAGTGTTTATATAAATAGGTAGTCTGTTTTTAATTAGTTTTTTTCCTATTATAGGACTATCATGTGTAATACTAAAATCGTATACAAAAATAATAATACAAGGAAATATAAACAATAAAAATATACAAATATTATCCTAAATTAAATTTTGATGTTCCCAAATATTGGCCTATATTATTTGATTGTTTTTGAGATGTAGACATCGTCAAAGGCGTTTCAGGATTTTTCAATTAATTACTTAAGTATTAAGGTAAAGGGTAAAGTTTTAGCAAAAGGAAAGTATCCAAAAAATCTCACCTCAAATATAATCAATATATACAATCCACATAATAGAATACAGGAATATATAACTCCTGTATTACGATCCAACGGATTTATTACATAGTTCAAACTAATCGGCGCGCTCTGATTGGCTGTTGTTTGCATTCTAAGAGCAAACACAGAGCTCCCATTGGTGGAATTTGATTCTAACATAATAATACTGGATCGAGATTCCCCCGTTGTGAAGTCCAAGTCATCTTCTTGGAGAAGAATCGTCCAGATTTTGGAAACCTATTGGAATAATATATTATTAGAAAAATATAACAATACGATAAAAAAAAATAAGTATTTTGTATAATGGACCATCCTAAATGGTTTTTTGAAAGTATTAATATTCTTCTTCTTCTTCTACCTAGCAATTTTCTCAGCTTTAGCCAGGGTCTGCCTTACGAGTTGTGAATAGTTTTGGCTAATTGTTTTTACGACCGGCCGCCTGCCTGACATCAACCCTCTTTTGGGAATCAACATTAATCAGTGATGTCTAAATAATCTTAGAAATTACATATGACTCGGAAAAATCACATTGGTTCTTGCCCGGGCCAGGATCGAACCGGCGCCTTCGTGCATGAGAGGCGGGCTCTTTTAACCACTGGGCCACCACTGACTATTAATATTGTCTGACATTACTGAAAGTATTTATATTGTCTGACCAAAACTTGATGACCTACCTCTTTGTCAAGAACATCTTTTTCTGATATCACCTTGCCTACATTTTCCACCCTCCATTTCTCCAGCCAAACATCCATTTTCATATAACCTGTCATTTCGGAGGAATTCATTTTCCCCTCCGCTTGCTCGCTGAGAAAAGGTCCCGATAGTTTTACGCGAAGAGACAGAGACGCGTCAGATATATTTAATACGTAACCTGTTAAAAATATACAATGATAACCTTCTTTATAAGTCTAAATTTGAATAGAAAAAATTACATTGTTTGCCCAAACATTAGCCAGTGGATAATTTCGATTAGCTGCTAACAGGAGATCAAATTAAAGTTATGCTTGCAGTTACAATCTGTTTATAATATGTAAGAGAAATTATACTGTAATATCTAGAATGCTATAACTCTACCATTGTACTAAAAGTCTGTTCTTATAGTCACTGTCATTTGTCATAAAAACACGTTGATTGACCAAAACAGAAGATTTTAGTTACTATTTCTTCTTTTTATAATCTCTTCTTCTGTCAGTTAATCGTCTTTTAAAGATTCTCTCAAAGAATAAACAATAAAGATCCTAATCCTATCTGTAATTGCAATAATTGATAGATATTTTTTTGTGTCTTCTCGAAAAATTATTGAATACATCTCGTAAATTAAATTAATTTCTTTCTTCAATTTACTACAAATAAAATTTTGATCAAGTAGCGCATCTTAAGACACGCAACGAATTCTGGTTAGCATACTTTGATACTAAAAAGTCTAGTTCGCAAAAAAATCCTAATTTTTATTTTGCATTTTCCTTAAGTGATTCTTCGCTGCATGTGTAATGTATACACGGCTTTAAGGTCAATGACCCGTCAAAGGGCGATGTAACGGTATTGAACGCATATCAATGCATTTGTTAGGATTCCTTTAGTACATTTGTTTTACTTCAAAGTTCAATTCTTTTATAATAAGAAACAAAATTTTTTATATATATGTACATTAATAAGTTGATATTTATTCCCAAAAGGTGTATAAATAATACTTAAAGATAGATATTATATTTTGTCGTTTTTAGACATCGTTTTGCAAACCCAGTTGCGGACTTAAAAACATTTTAATATTTATAAAGTAACTAGTTTTTGCCCGCGACTTCGTCCGCGTTAGTTTGGTCATGAGTAATATATGAAGGTATAGCTGACCAGGCGAACTCTATTCTGTCTTAGAGGCCATAAATAATCAAGTTTTTCCTGTTTCAATCAAACAGAATGATTGACATATTAGTTAGTTGTCAAATCTAATGTCAAAAAAAACGTTTGTATGGGAAATAGAAAAAGGCTGTTTTTAGGATTTTCCCGGCAATAATTCCAATTTTTCTCACCTTTTAAACCTTCCCTGGATTTCCAGGAGTATTTCAAGACTAAAATTAGCCAAATCGGTTCAGCCGTTCTCGAGTCTTAGCGAGACTAAGGAACAGCAATCCATTTTTATATATATAGAAGAATAAGATTATTAGTACAGATGTTACTTAAACGTTTTGACATTCACTTATAATTTGTTTTATATAAGTGCAATAAAATATATCGAAGTTTACGCAATCTAACTATGGATAGGTAACCTATTTAAATTTTTCACTCAAGTTCCTCTGTTTTTAATCACTAATAGTCAAGACTTTAAGATATGTTTTGTCAATCAGATATTTATGATTTAAATATTTTTCAAATAGCCAGTTGGATGAGCAACAATCAAAACTATAGAACCATAAACTCGTAAACCTAGAGAGAACAAATAAGATCAAAGAATTTTGCGAGTATTTATTCACGAAACTAATAGTTTTCGGATTTTATAATAATAAAATACGCGAAGTATGATACTAAAACTGTAAGTTTCATTTAGAGAAAACATCCTATTTGCTATATTAGCTATTAAAGAAAATATAGCAAATTTAAAAGTATACATACTCTTAATTTCTCCTGGATTTACATATGAATTTCTGTGCACGTCTTCCTTTTCGTTGTACATCATGAAAACTATAGTAAAGAAGAACCAACATCCCAATAAAAGGGACATTTTGATGTAGTGACGAGCTGACGCGAACTGTTAGAAAAAAAATATTAATTATAATATGTATAAATAATAAAAATTTTGAATTAACGATGCTTCTGACAAATATAATGAATTAAATGTTCTTAAGCGGCCTTATGATCGTAAATAATTGTTACATGTCGTCATTTATATAATAATAAATCAAACTAAAATATCAATTATATTTGTATAGAAAGTAGTATTTTAGATTTTTGGTGACCCTGACATAGGTTTTTAAATGTTTTAATATAAAAAACTCACCTTACTCTTCCGCTTATGTGAGTTTGAATCGATCCTGAAAATAAATAAGATCACGTAAAACTATTGTTATCATATAAAAATATACATTTTATTTAATTCACAAACTCCTGTTAAAGCACACGCACGCACAAACACGCACACATATATCCAATTATATGTAAATAAACATAGATCAACCAACTACGTTATCTCTGATAGCACTTTCTATTTTTATTTTATTCGTAAACTTATGTTAAAAGATACACATGCGACAATTTCGTTTACGCACGCACACAAACACCCACGCACCACGCACGCATGCACGCATACATGCAAATTGTTATTTATATAAATATTGTCCAACTAACCCATTCTTATCTTTGACAGCATTTTCAATTTCAACCCCATCAAGAGCAGCGCTAGGAGTTTCTTCTACTTTATTATTATTAAGATGTGGTGCTGATTTTACTAGCGGCAGCCGTTTCGTTTCTGGTACTGAACCATTTTTAATTCTAAGTGCAATTTCTTCCTGCTTGCCGGCTGAAAACAATAATATAGTTACTAATTAAAATACATTTTCAATATTTATCTGATCATGTGTACAAGTTATTTATATTTGTAAATAAAATAATATAAAAGTTCTATCAAATTGCCCGCAGATAGTTCAATTGTAATGCAATTTAATTCCAATTTAAGTTGAATTGATATGCAATTATTCACAAAAACAGAACATTAAAAAATTTCTTCTTTAAGAATAAGTGCTTGGTTAAATGTTCTTATTTAAGATATATAAATAAATATTATATTATATACTATTTTGATTGTTAATATCATTCTGATACTTCAGATTACTTATTATTATTATTTTTCTTTCCTTTAATTTGGATTTTATGAGGATATTATTAGAATTTCAATTTATCTTGCTAAAATTGAGTTTTAATAAAAACGTAAACAATTGTAAGTCATTGTCAAAATTTAATATAGATTGTCACTCAATTGTCTAAAGTTCCGCTTTGGATGCTAGGTAGTTGTGAATTTTTTGTATTCTTTTAACTATATTTTCAATTATCATTATTTATTGGGGAAACCATCACATAATACTTAATAAATTAAGATTTTTTTCTATACATTTTGTTCCTATCATTGGTTTTTTTTGTGAGTAGGTATTTTACTTTCACCAGCAAAATATTTAGGAAATATTTTTTGCTATTGATTCGGTATCGCAGTACATATTAAAGTATTTTTTATTCTGAAACCCTTGTTTATAGTGTATTTTTTCATTAATTTTATTTATATAAGAGTAAAATAATACAAGAAATTATTTCACGTTATGTCACAAAAATTCATTCCAAAACATCCACGCTTACAAACAACGTCTATTACACAACTCATTTGATCTGGTACAAGATTATGTTTCAGTATTAAGCCCAGGTTTTGTACATTTCCTCGTATCAATTTATATGCAATTAAGCATCAAAGAAATAAATAACTTACACTAGGTACTTAAAGGTACTAAGTATTGATTATGTTTTATTTTTCATTATTATATTAATCTATTAACCAATAAATCACACATTTTTAAGTCGATGCAATTAGCTGGAGCATTTAAATTAAAAGTTCAATATCAGATGAATTTGCAAGTTACAATGAGTTACTTTTTATTATTTTGCTATTAAAAATTAGTCAGCATTCAAATTCATTAGTATTATTTGACGTAACAAATAAAATTGACATTAAATTTTCTTGAAAATCACGAAAAAGCGTGATAATGTTGAAGTTTCCATAAACTTCTCTATTAAATAATGAAAATTCTATCAAAACGCGTTCAAGCCTTTCAAAGTTTTAGTCTAAACGTCTACACTCACATATATGTATGTACTCATATCTTGGTTCTGATAACAATTATATACATTTGAGTTAAAATACTTTTTCTCGTGAATAAAGGTTTTGTGGAACTTTAATTATCATATATACAAGAATAAAAAACCACTGTCCTTCTGATAAATAACTGATCAATGAGAATTCTTACACGCGACAATAAGCCTTTGACAAAACCTACTTAGCACGTGGAATAGCATTAATTTAATATAAACTAGAATAACTCATGTTAACTATAAAATTTACAGTAAAACTACTGTTTTTGCTAAAGCAAATAAATATAAGGCTTTTTTGGCAACGCAAAACAAATAACATTTCTTATGTTGAGATCAAACCCTCTTTTTATGTGGAATCCTATTAATCTTATTTTACTTCTTCTACCTGGCAATTTCCCAGCTTTCAGCCAGGGTCTGCCTTACATGTTGTAAATAGTTTTGGCTAATTGTTTTTACGACCGGCCGCCAGCCTGACATCAACCATCTTTGGGAATGCATTAATCAGTGATGTCTAAATACTCTTAGAAAGTACATAGGACTCGGAAAAATCACATTGGTACTTGCCAAGATCAGGATCGAACCCGCGCCCTCGTGCATGAGAGGCGGGCCTTTTAACCACTAGGCCACGACTGACTATGTGAAATCCTATTAATGTACAATGAGAATCAAAAGGGGATTACAGGTGACAGATCCCAGGTATAACAAGTCCAGAATAAGCGGCTAGATAAAATGTTACTGCCGTAATTATTAGACGGGAATCGAACTAAAGTATCGCATTAATGCTACAAACAGTTGTTTCAATAAATAAAAAAACAATGACAGTTGTATTCATCACAAAAACACGATAAAATAAAAGAGTTCATTGACACATGATAATGCTTGCATTCCGCGTGTCTAATCTGTTTCGATGCACTTCATATTAATGGATCACGTCAGTGGCATAATTTTCTGCTTATACTATACCAACCAAGTTTAGTTTATTGACTAATTTTTACGATTTTTTTGTTTAGACTTAACTATAGCTATAAGCCCTAATGGCTTTAATAGCGTTACCGGGAGGATTTTTTTACAATGTGTTATTTATTTAAATGAAACTAATATTATTCGAATTATACAACGCGACTTTATTTTTGTAATAAACTACATACTCTCGAAATTTCGGTTACTTTTCAGCAACCGTAATCACGGGCAGACGAGATGTTTTGTTTAATTTAAATCTTTGGGTGTCGATAATTTTAATCACCCTCTAAGAAAACAAACAAAAATATACAAAATGGCTTTAAAGAAACACATGGGAGATTAAAATGCAAACTTGTATACCGACATTTGCTTTTAAAAATTTGCCAACTTAAGAGACTCAATTTAAAACAGAAGACTATTAATGTAGAATTATATCTTATACGAAATGTTATCAAAATCTGTCTAGTAGTTCCTTCTACACAAATGTGAACAAAACGTCACAAACATTTAGTCACATGTTAGCTCAAGATAAACATGGACCTTGGAAATAGAGACTAGCATCCAAATATGTTATAATAAAGTAAATATTTTTACGTTTGAGTAAAACTAATATTATTCTTACTATATAAAGAACATCATTGAACCATGAGTAATACGAAAAAGGTTTTTAATTCACACTTTTCAAGGAAGGTCCTATAACCATAAAAAGTGTCTTTTACAATAATTATAATAATAATTAATGTGTTAACATTTGTATTTCTGCTGATATTGGTTCAAACAAATAATAAAATCCATTAAGATAATGAGATATGAGACTTTCCAGTGTATTCATTTAAATAAAACTAATATTTTCGTATGTACTACGCGTATTTATTATTTTAAACTACATACTCCCGACATTTCTTTTATTTTGCAGCAATCCTGATCACGGGCAGACAAGATGAAAAAATATATTAACCATTGCAGTTTATTGTTTAAATAATATTTTAAAACTTTGTAAGTACATTTTTATAATAAAAAATACCTGAAATGTATTAACTATTGGTTTCCTTAGTACGAAGTTCATCTTTTTCACTTACTTTTATTGCAGTGTTTTTATTATTTGCAAGATATAAAAATAAGTTACAAAAGAGCTGAATTAATTGATACATTATTCACGAAATAATCCAATAAAATTTAATTATTATACTAAATATAAAATCCGTTAGCCCTTCGAGTAGAAAATATACAATTTTTTTGTATAAATATGTATAAGTATATTTAAAACTACATAACTACATAATATCTAAAAAAAATGACGTGTACTGGAAAAATCAACCAAAGGAAATACTTAATTTAAAGCTAGTGATTGCAAACAGAGCACATATATTCTAAATATTAAAAATAACGAAATCATAAAAACAAAACCGATTTTGATAGGACTCAAAGCAATCTGATGAGAAAAAGAGCATAATATAATGTTCTCATTAATTTTATGAACAAAATCTTGAAAAATAAGTAGAAATAAATGGAGTAATTATATATTATCTATTAATCAACATCTATCTATATAAAATTCTGCAACATGTTTTGTCTGTTACATACGTGTGCCAAAGCGACGAGTCGAAAGCTATTTCTGAGCCGGTTCAAGCGAGTTCAAACCAGTTCAAACTCGTTCTTGTTATAATCTAGACGGAATTATCTTATAATGTGTTTTATGCAGCGCTAATAATGACACCTATTATATATGAGAAAAAATTACCATAAAATTGTATCTTTTTTTATTTCAAAATCACGACAAAAAGCGTATTGAAATTTGGTATACATACATGAATAAATAAAAAGTTGGTTAACTATTTCTAAAATTCCTTAGTAATAGAAAAATTTATATAATAATATGTATATTTAAATACCAAAAAATAAATCAATAGATACAACCCTGAGATTTCTAAAGCTTTGAAAGTCCTCGTTATAGAAAATAAAAAGAATTTTTTTCATGTGCTTTGAAAAAAAGCTTTTAAAATAAAAAAAAGTTAATTTTTCACACAACCTTTTGTCTCTACAGTAATTTTGTTCCTATTCGTTATACAAAATCATAGCCCTATTTATATAATAAGAAAATGCTAGAGACATTGATTTATCCTAAGATTTAAATCCATCAATACATTACCTATCATTCAAAAATAATAATAAAATGTAGTTTTGCTAATTTATAATATACAAATCTATAGAATGTCTCAATTAAAGATGCTTATTTATTTATATGCACGGTAATCAAGGAATAAAGGAAAAGAAAACCTTTGTCTAAAACATAAAATAACAGTCAATTTTGCTTCCAAAAATAATCAAGTTGTTTTTAGTAATTTGATTTCTCGTAAATATCTAAATAATTTTTAATAGAAGCTTTGTTTATTCTGTACAAACTATGTATAATATTAAGAAGACATATTAATGTATATTTTAAGTAGCATTTACTATTTTATCCAATTACGGTGGTTTAAATGTATCAATTATAATTACAAATTAATAAGAAAAAACATTTTTTTACATATTAGAACGAAGAGTATTTGTTCTTTATATATGTTTGGAAAATTTTGATACAAATAATGAAACTTGACCTATTTACATAAATTTTAATTTAATTTAAATAATTACATTTATCATTGGTAGCGAATAAAGTAGGTTTAAAATACAAGGCTTATATCCATGGCTTGCACGTCAATTATTTACAGTTCCTTTTACTTATTTTAACCGCACTAATGACAATAAACAAACAGACATTCGCTTTAACGATAGGTATCATTGCTGTGACGATGGCAATTATTTTGTATATGTATATAAACGAGACGAAACCTCTCATCATTCAATGGATTCACCGTGCGGGTGTCGGGTCCATCGTTGTAGTGAGAGGAGCTTCAACAGTGACTGGGACTTGTGACCCAGGTGTAGGTATAAGGGACCCTATGTAACAAGCGTTACACGCTCACCTCCACCGTACAAGCTCCTCTCTCTAGTCTCCAACAATAGAATAGATTTATATGGTTTGACTTAGATAAATCCCTTTTTTTTAAGTTACCAGTCTTGTATTAGCTGTATAGATTTCAAAGATTATAAACACTAGTAGGTATTATTTGAAGTAGTTAAGATTATGTTTTTTATTTTTTTAATTCTGCTATTACTATGTAAACTATAAACTAACGGATGATATACCTATATCTTTTTACCTAAAAAGTTAAAGAAAATATAACTCAATAAAACAGTTTTAAAAGTAAAAGTAAAAGGCTACAATCACCTTTTTTAAATCCAACTTGAACATTACTGTTAAATATCAAAAACTTAATAATATGGATCTCAATTTATTCCGATAACGTTTGATAATAAATTCTATGATCGATTTATTTCTTAAATACATGTTTAATGAAAAATTGTCGGTAAAATAAAAACGAGCTTAAAAATATAAGCAAAAATTTATTGCATTTAAAAAAATAAATATTGACGATTAACCAAACTGTCCTGACTTCTAAAACAAATTTCTTTTTGTCACGCAATAATTTAAATTTTGAGAGCATTGAACTAGGTCTTATAATTAATTTATATATTGTTTATTTACATATTATGTATGTAACTCAATTTAAATGAAAATATATGTATATAATAAATAATTAGTACAATAAGATAAAACAAGTAATAAAACTTCAGCGACTAAAATAATATTATAATAAATATATTTTTTTGTAATTTTGTAAATTATGTAAGGACTGTTTATTTTCTGAAGTATATTAAAAAAGATAAACATGTAACTAATATAATTTTGCAATTCTAGTATCGAACCCAGTATAACCTAGTTATATGTAAAACATTTCAAAACAACAAAATAAAAAATTACTATCTATGTATGTACTTAAGAATTTCGCGAGTATTCAATATGTCGGGAGTATTTAGTCATAACTAGTTTTTGCCCGCGACTTCGTCCGCGTTAATTTCATCATTAGTAATATATGTATAACTGACCGGGCGAACTCTATTCCATCCTAGAGGCCATAAATAATCAGATTTTTCCTGTTTCAATCGAACAGAATGATTGACATATTAGTTAGTTGTCAAATCTAATGTCAAAGAAAACATTTGTATGGGAAATACAAAAGGGCTGTTTTTAGGGTTTTCCCGGAAATGAATCAATTTTTCTCACCTTTTAAACCTTCCCTGAACCTCCACGAACATTTCAAGACTAAGGTAAGATAAATCCCTTCAGCCGTTCTCGAGTTTTAGCGAGGCTAAGGAACAGCAATCCATTTTTATATATATAGAAGAAGAAGATAGAAGATAATAAAAAATCTTAAATATTAGTTTAATATCTCTGTCCCTACTAAAAAAAATACTAAATTGAAACCAATTGCACTGCATTATACTTATAAAAATCTGGAAACATCTAATAGATGTTGCCACCGCTCCGATATGAAGATTAAATATATAAAATGCTTAATGCACCGATCGACACCCACACGATAGCTTAGTCGACAAAGTATCTGGAACATGATACTCCGGAGATTACGGGTTCAAATCCTGCCCATGTTGATAAATATTTCATTATAGATATACTATTTTAGATACAGGGAAGAGCTTGGACGATGGAGGTGAGCGTTTAACGCGCGTTATATAGGGGTCCCTTAAACCTACACCTGGGTCACAAGTCCCAGTCACTGTTGAAGCTCCTCTCCCTACAACGATGGACCCGACACCCGCACCGTGAATATAGAGGTTTCATCTCCCAAACATAATTCTTTATTTCTTTACATTTAAGTCACAACTTTAAAACTTTATACATAAAGACTGATTTAAAATACTAAATTCTAATTAGCTTAGAATAAATAACAATTTAGTAATTCATATGCAGTCTTCTCTATTCTGTTGAAAATAAGACAGATGAATTAAAACAACGACACATTTACGAGGATAATTGTGATATAAGCTAGTACTGTTGTATTTTATGACTTATTTAAAATAAAATTCATATATATTCTTCTTGTAAACTAAATCTTAGATAAGTGTTATTAAAAATTTCACGCTTAAATAATCCTTTAACATTAATTTTATAAGGATAACCGAAAATTTATACTTGCTTTTTTACTTTATCTATACTAATTGCTTTTGTGTGTAATTACGTCACTTAAAACATATATGATCTATTTACATCAGTGGTGGCCTAGTGGTTAAAAGGCCGCCTCTCATGAACGAGGGCGCGGGTTCGATCCTGGCCCTGGCAAGTACCAATGTGATTTTTCCGAGTCATATGTACTTTATAAGAGTATTTAGACATCAATGATTAATGCATTCCCAAAAGAGGGTTGATGTCAGGCAGGCACCGGTCGTAAAAACAATTAGCCAAATCTATTCACAACATGTATCGCAGACCCTGGCTAAAGCTGGGAACTTGCCAGGTAGACGAAGAACACCTATATATATGGCAGTAAATCTGTTAAAATAATTACTTAACAAACCTAAAAATATTCTTACTTATGACCCAGTATGTTTGCCAAAAGTTTGCATTGTCAAACTAAATACGTAGACTTTGTGGCAATCGTCAAACATGATACGAATGATTTTTTCATTAAAGACCTTTAATTTGCCGTATTAATTTTGTCAATACGAACATACACCATCTTGAGCAAGCGTGGTGATTAATGTTCAAACCTTCTCCATGTGAGAAGAGGCAGCTCAGCAATGGGCTCTGATAGGCTGATGACGACTTACATATATGTAGTAAGCTGAGTAGCCACGATTATTGAGAATACATCTTCAAGAATGACAAGTGAACTGTATAGAGATTTGCATATGAATGATAAGAAGATGTTAAATGATATTGTTATATGCTCACGGACCTATATTGTGAATCTTCACTATTGTTATTACCTACCCATTAAAAACATGTTTATTTATTTAAAATACACAAGGAATTCCCCAATTTTTTGTGTATTTTCGTTTTAATTATTTTGTTATTTGTGCGTCATTTTTGATTCTGTTTTATTAAGTTTTATGTGTTTTTAAATTATAAAAAAAATCGATATTATCAGTTTTTTGAGAATATTAGTTTTGGGAACTTAAAAATTTATCTACTAATAGCATTTATTATGTATATATATATATATAAAAGCATGTTATATATTTTTATGAATATATTTACTAAGTTATCATTTGAAATTTAAAAGCATTTTTAACTGAACTATATTTTGGCTTGCGGACAAAATATTATGTACTACGACGCAAAAATAAAGAAATATTTAAAGTCTATATTTAGAAATCTTTTCATGACACAATTGAATAGAAGTTCAATGTTTTAAAAAACTTTAACTTCATCATAATCGTTCCTTATATATTACAGCTCGCGTAACTTAACAATAACCCAAATATTTCGTTTATTTACCCCATAACAAGTACAATTAAAACGAAAGAACAATTGAAATTAATAACAAATAATATATATAAAATAAATTTAAATAAAAACTCACCTATTTCCTTTTCGTATCTCTTCTGGAATGGCTCTAGTTCAGGGTCGTACTTTATCTTCTTGGGAAGTTTCAGCCATACCTGAAGAGCTTCAGGACTTAAATCTCCAGTTGAAACCAGGGAATATTGACTTCTACTCAATTCTGGTGCCGGCGTCTTTGTGCCACCACTCCACGCTTTCACTCTTTGTACAAATTTATCCATTTCACTTACAAATTTGATGTTAAATACAAAAGAATATTGTCAGATTATTTTCATTCTGGATGACAGATTGCTAGATAGATTAAATTTTGATTATTTATTTAGTATATAAAACAGATTAAAAACATTTATATGAAATATTAAGTCATAAAAGTAACGGTATATTTAAGTCTTGCTGCTTATTGCACGGCTTAATAAAAATAATGTTAAGTATTAAAAACCCTTCGAGCTCAATAATTCAATGTACACTGAGACTTACAAGGTTATCCTAGCCCTTATATACAATCTTTGTATCAGTATTGATAATGATAATTTCAGGTGACGTACATATATATATATAAACATATAAAACTAAATCAATGAAAGATATATATACATATACTATCATATATATAATTTTTGTTACATATATTTAATATATGGTTTAGTGTAGAAATTAATTGATATTATATATATTTAAAACGAATATTAATTTTAAACAATATTTATTTATATAAATATTTATAATATATATTTAAAATCAGTAAATGAAATCGCTACCTAGCATAAAGAGATGGAAATATAATACTAAAACCACGGACAATATCTTATTAAGAAAATATAGTGTTCTGATGTATTGCACATATATCCATATCTATATAATATAAAAGAAACTCGTATTAGTTACACTATTTATAGCTCAAGAACGACTGTACGGGTTCGGATGAAAATAAGTGGAAAGATAGGATAGACAAAGGAAAAGAAGAGAGGTTACTTTGTATCCGATTGAAAAAGATAAAAAAATAATAAGTTGATCAAATCCTATACCTTTTTATCTATTGTCTTTAAAACTGTCTTTTTACTAAAAAAATCTTAAATAATGAGATCGAATGAAATCTCAGACTTTTGCGAGTATTCATTTAAATGAAACTAATATTACCGGATTACTACGCGTATTTTATTATTTTTATAAACTACATACATACTCCCGACGTTTCGGTTACTTTTCAGCAACCGTGATCATTAAGACGAGATGACAATGAAATCTTATTGTTGACCAGGAAAATTGTATTCATTGAATTAAAAAAACAGGGATATGTATCTATTATTAATATACAAGTATTATCAAATCTAAAGAAGATTCAAAGATAAAAGAAAAAAAGTAAAGAAAACTTTATTATGCCATTCATCTTAAAGTGTATTTATATATCAGTATATATAGCTAATATTCTATCACAATAATAATAATTGACCAAGGAATAGACCTTCTAATCTGTCCCATACTTATAAAAATCATTTGATAGTAAATAATTTATAGTTACACGTATTATTCCATTATTTTAATGACCCATTTACTATGCTATGTCTAAATATTTATAGGATTTTGCATGTTTGATTACCTTCGAAAACAACAGATGGTGTTTATGTCTGATTGTAGTAAAAAATAAGAGACAATCATCATTCGATCTATAGCTTTGGTATGAAACTGTTAGGTTTGATAATTAAGTATAGTAGTCTAAATAAAAGAGAGAAAAGTTAGAAATTTATTGTATCGACTTTCATGCAATGAGGTATTTTAGATAGATCGATAGGAATGATTTATAAAGCATTAACAAAGTACTTAGTTTTTTTAGGTGGTAGAGCCTAGATTTAGTCAGTTACTGTAGTAACTGACTAAATCTAGGCTCGAACATGGGCTGGCTCGACCGGGGAAGCACCACCCTCTCACAGAAGATCGGCGTGAAGTAGCCTTTAATGGCTGCGTTTCGTCCGATAAGTGAGAGAGCCGGTTGCCCTTTCCCTATTCCTACCCTTTCCTACCATTTCCTTATTCCCACCCCTCCCTATCCTTAAAAAACAAGGTTGGCAACGCATCCGAAACAGAGATGTTGCGGATGTCCATGGGCGACGGTAACCACCTTCCATCAAGTGGGCCGTCTGCTCGATTGCCACCATTCACATAAAAAAAAATATATATATATTGTCATAAAGAAGATAGACGAGATAAGGAAACCTTATCGTTATAAGAGATTTTTCTAGGTTACTTTTTGATTATTACATGTAATTGGTGAAGGTAGGTAGGTTGAGGTATATAATTGTATATATGTGTGTGTGTGTAGGTGTGTGTATATATATAAACACATGAATTATTAGTAATAAGACATTACATATAATGAAATATATGGAAGAAAATATATCTAATAATTAGAAATATTGACGACTTTTATGCGCCTCAGAATGAAGACAGGACGGGATTTGAATGAAATAATAATTCTTTATCTTGATTTTAAAAGATTCCTAGGAAGTAGTACTTCTAACAGATAAAGGCAAGGAATTTCATAGTTAGGAAGATTATACAATTAGTAGTTAGTAAGTAAGTATAGCTGGCATAGTAAAGGAAAGTACCTGAAAGGAATATGTTGTATTTTGTTCAACATAATTAGTAATTTAAGTACTTAAAATTGCTACGATTGGCTATTCTAATGAATTTTTTTGACATAGTTTCATAAATTATCGTCTGGTTCATAAAAAACCTTAATTCTTTGCTACTTCAAATGTATGCTCCAGTGTATAATGTAATAATATAAAAATAAATATAATAAAATAGTTCAAGAGCAATCAAAAATCAATCTGGCCCGACTTTAAAAATTATTATTTAATGCCATTATAATTAGGTAAAGAACCAAAACTTTAATGACTCAAACATCGTTTTGGACAATGTCATATAGATTTGCTTGAAAATAATTGACTTGTTTGTGATTCTAACGAATGGTAACTTTTATAATATACTAGCTTTCCGCCCGCAGCTTCGCCCGCGTGGAGTTCGGTTATATCGTGTTTCCAAGAGAACCTTTCAAAAGTCTGGGATAAAAACTATCCAATATTCTTTCTCAAGGTCAACAATATCTGTACCAAATTACATTAAAATCAGTTCAGTCGTTTAGGCGCGAAAGAGTAACAGACAGTCAGACAGAGTTAATTTCGCATTTATAATATAAGTAGGGATATAACTGAATACTTTAAATAAATAAAAAAGTTGTATTAGTTACACTAAATAACTCAAGAACGGCTGTAAGGATATGGTTGAAAATTGGAGGAGAAATAGCTTAGATTTTAGAACATAGAAAGGACGTAGGACATTTAATTCTGTTCGATCGAAACAGAAAAAGAACCTAATAAATTCCAATAACTGGTTATTTACGGCCTCTCGGACGGAATAGGGTTCGCCCCGTCAGCTATACATACATACATATATATCACTTATTCAGAAATCAACGCGGACGAAGTCGCGGGTTATAACTAGTATTTGTATAAAAATACGTCATTATAAAGAAGATACTATAGAAAGTGTATTATTTTTAAGAGAGTTGCTCAAGAATCTTTCCTAGATACAAAACATATATAATTTACGTAAGCGAATAATACATATATAATTTACGTAAGCGAATTAATCATATAAAAAATGTGATATTATCAATACAGACGATGTCTGTCTTTTATCTGATATAGATGTTGTTTTGAACTGTTTAAGATAGAGAACTTGCACTAAAATCAGATAAAAACAAGTGCTTGAAATACCTATTCGACATAAAGATAGGAAACAGGTGGAAAAAAAATCAAAATACTTAAAAATCCAGTTCAAAGCGAAACATTTTTAAGTATGTTATGATAAAGATAGAGTTTTTGCTATATTAATAATAAAAAAAATCTATTTGAATCTTTCAATTTAAATTAATACATAACTTTATTGGTACATTGAAGTCGTGGTGGTTAAAGGATCGCCTCTCGTGCATGAGGGCGCAGGTTCGTAACCTAGCAAGTACCAATGTGATTTTTCCGAGTCATATGTACTTTCTAAGAGTATTTAGGCACCACTGACTGATGAAGGAAAACATCGCGAGGGAACCCGGACTTATAATTTCAAATTATAAGTTTGAAATCGCCAATCCGCCTCGAATAAGCGTGGTGATTAATGCTCAAATTTTCTCCATATGAGAAGAGGTTTACGCAGCAGTGGGCTCTGATAGGCTGATGATGATAATTACTTTATTATATGAATTTTAAACTTATTCACAATAGAGAATTGTTAAAGAGATTTTATAACAGTAAAAGATAAATAGTTCTTTCCTAAGTGACGTTTATCAACACATATCGTTTTTTGTCAGAAAAATCTATAATAAAAATTTGTAAGGAATTCGACTATGACTGGTAACAAAAGATAAAGATGACAGAATGTTATTTTATCATAATAATTAAAAAGATATCTTTAAATTATCATTTATCTAATCATTATTGACAAAAAATCTACCAACGTGTGTGTTCTTCATGATATGATAATGATATAGATTGGGACACAGTTTAAATTTTCATTGTCATGTTAAATACTTACAGTTTTTAAGTTTTACTTCACAGCTAATGTCAACAATATTCTATGATTATAAATCAATAAATTTTATAGTACCTATGGCTTTATTCACACTGGGATCGTATAATATTTAGGTAATGTCAACGTTTTTATTTGTTTAACAAATTATAATCTTGAATACTGTGTGGAGGGAACACGAAGGATTTTTTTGTATTTCATAAAGACTTTTCTAAAAATCAAACTTTGACTCTTTAACGTTGACAATGAGGTAGTAAGATTTATGTATGTTTGTATAATAATACTAATTAATTTAAATACGTCTAGATAAAAATCATTAACGAACCTATAAACTTATACATATATTTTTTGTATAACTTATATGTAATATAATCTATTTTTTTGTATATAAAATTCATATTAGCGAACTTTAGTTTTATTTGAGTTAGCTTTACAATGCATAAAAGACATCGATAAACTTGCGACAGCAATGGCTTAAGAGGAAACAATAAGAATAGATAATTCCTATACCCTAACTTATAATCCAACGCTGATTTTATCTTATGGTCCATAGATCACAAAGCACTACAACTTTATGATGATCTGGAACTATCAAGTGACTATGAAAAAGCACTATTAGA